CTCTCACTGTTGTGGCCTCTCCCATTGTGGAGCACAGGCTCCGGACGAGCAGGCTCAACGGCCATGGCTCACGGGCCCCGCCGCTCCACGGCATGCGGGATCCTCCCAGACCGGGGCACGAACCCGTATCCCCCGCAAGATTCACTCTTTAAGGCAGATTTAGCATTCAACAAATCAAGTACCTACTATGTACCCTGCCCTGCAAAGACACTGGGCTGGAGAGACTCGGGAATGTTCATTTCCCAGCGCCGTGGTGGGCCTTGTTTAACTCCGCCACAGCGTCTCCTTCTCCTCTTGCTACTACTATTACTACCAGACACTAATGCTAATAATAATGACGGGGACCCAGCTGGTGGCTGACCCCCTCTGCTCCCATCCTCCCAGCAGCCCCCAGGCTCAGGGACACCAGGGGTGATGTGAGTCAGGCCCAGGATCTGAAGCAGGTGAGTATTCAGCCGGTTTGGTTGAGGATGAAGTTCTGAGAAGCCCCCTCGGGTGGGCAGAGCCCACACTGTTTGCTCTCCACCCCTTCTCTCACCTCCATACCCTCCAGGGTTGGGGGTCCCCCCAGCACTATAGCAGGGCAGCCCCTTCCCAAAGCCAGATTCTTGGGCCTCTTCTCTCAGACCCAGGGTCTATCCCCCACCTCCTTGCTGCCCACCACGCCCACCCTCTGAGGGTAACAGCACCCCAGCCAGCCACAGACGGATGGCAGGGTCCAGGACCAAAAGTCCCCAGGACTCAGCCAGAGAGGGGTGAGCCCACCAGATGGGACAGCCAGGTCACGCTGCATCTCCACAGGCAAAGAATGGACCACAATTTTACAAATAACGGGGGGCCAGGCCCTTTGGGGATCATGGTCTAGGCTGATCCCCACAGGGATGGGGGCACAAGAAGTCAGTCTTCCCTGTCACACCAGGGTGTTGGCCAGAGGCAGGAGTAGGAGGGGTGTGGGCAGGGCCTGGGCAGAGGAAGGAAAGGGGGAGGGGTGGCCCAGTCCAGGGCCTGGGACCCACAGGTGTGTCCGGAGTTAGCCCCAGACACAAAAGGCCAGGCGCTGGCGGTCTCCTCCGCTGCCTGGCACCCTTGGTGCCGGGGTGGGGGACACATCCCAGGCCCCCAGCCCCTCATCGCACCCCGCACCCCCGCGATGTGCACCCGGGACAGGGGTCT